TGCATTGGTGAAGGAAATTCTATGGGGACTACACCTGAGGGGGTGGGGGAAGCAAATATTGTTTAAAAATGAACAATGATGTAAAAAAATTAATAAAAAAATAAATAATTATGTTTCAAATTGGGCAATAACCTGCATATTATAATATATACTGTTTGAGGCTAGGTTTTGTGACATTATTTGTAGTTTTCAGCATGGATTGCTTCTGATATATCTTTGCATTTAATTTTTTGTTTATTCCTGTATTCCATAAAGTGTTTATTATATAATAATAAGGATTTTACCCATATTTGTTGGACTCTAATACAAGTGTGAATAGTGGATATTACATATCAAAATAATGGTATGTTCATCATATCCAAAATATGAATAACTACCCAGGAATCTTTTGCTACTCAATTGACTCTAGTCAACACTTTATCAATCCAATGATTTCTTAAGTGATTTTTGAGTTAGAAAGCAGTTATTTCAAATATGACCATTGACACACAGTAAATTTGGACAATATTCTTGACATATAACTCCTATATACTGTGAGAAGCACATTTTACCTTACCATATAGATTTAACTGGATGTGCCAATTAAAACAGTGGTATAACAAATATTTCTAATTCTTGGATCCAAACCTCTGGATCCAAGAATTAGCATGGTTATTTATTGGCTACTTTTGAATTTATCTGTTCTCTTTTGTTTTGTTCAACAAGGTTCCATACCAGGGAAAATGAATTGACCAATAAGAATTGAGCTCTTTGTTATTTTCTTATTAGAGACACAATATGTCTTTATATGGATACATGATTATTTATTTTAGCTTTTTAGCTTTCTTGCTCTATCTTTATGTAACATTTAAATTGACATTATATTAGAGAACCAATTTGTGTAATTACAAAGAGGTTTTCTAATCTCTGGATTTATACTGATATGTATTCTTCTCAAGATGAAATAAAAGCCCTTGGTTAGTATGCTGTTTAAGAAGATGTCAATTTTCAATTATAATCCACTATAAAGTAACCCTACTGAGCATGAATACTATACTTTGTGTTAATTATCTTAATTTAATTGCTTTTTATTAATTTTAATACTTAACAAATAGTCACGTATCAGCAATGAATTTTTAAAGATGCTTTGCAGAGGTTTACTCATGCTCCTTCTTGAATTTTATTACAACAAATATGTAATATAAAAGCCTTTTATATTTAAAAACTATTTTAATTCTCATTTACAAGAATTGAAATGTTTTGCTGGGAAAGCTAAGAATATTAATTCTTAAGTGTAATTAGTAATATCTGTTATTCTTAGAACATTTACAATATCAAATACAAAGGTGCTATTAGACTCATCTCTATGTAAGAAAAAATACAGTGCTTCTATATACCCCGTATAGTCACATGGGCAATATATGCATATATAGATATTTAGCTGAACCTTCAAAGTAATATCACTTTGAACCTTCAAAGTTCAAAGTATCTATATCTATATATGCATATATTTCAAATTGAGGAATAAATAGCCCAGCTCTTATGTTAGAAATCATTAGAATTTAGGTCTCATGACATAACTGTGTGCTATAGAATACTTGTGACATTGTGTGTATGTTTGTGTGTGTAAATTTTAAAATTAATGTGACTTTCAAAAATTTAGCTGAGAGAATGTAGTATCTTCATGAAATTTATAATAATATCATTAGGATCTCTCTTGATTACTGTGGCAGACAGACTCTAACATAGTCCCTATTAATTCCTGCCTGCCAGTATTCTCAGCCTATGTATTCCCCTCCCTTGTAGTAGTCTGGGCCTACTGACTCACTTTTAAAAATTCCTGATTATAGAACTCTTTGTTTTTAAAAGTCTCGCTCTGTTCTTACTTTTTTTTTAAAGCTTTATTTATGCATACAAGAACGGGTACAGGCCAAAGGTGCCGGTGGGGGGTGGTGAGAGGATTCACCAGAGACAGAGTGGAAAACAGAACAGGCAGACTGACTGAAATACACTGCTGAGGGGAGCAGCAGGCGAGACAAGAGAGGTCTGCTGTGCAATGTGGGTCTCCTCCCTGGCCAGGGATTGAACTCATGCTGCATAGGCTGCAGATAGCTTCACAGTGCTGTGCTTAACCCCTTGCACCACCAGGGAGGCCCTGTTCTTACTTTTTCAAAAGCTAAAACTAAAGCTACTAGTACAGGTAGTGGTTTTAAAGTTTACTACACACATTTAGTAGAACCACCTTAAGTAATACAAGTACATAATCACTTAGCTCTGCCATTTTTTTCTCCTCTGTAAACCCTCTCCCAAACCTTTACTCTGGAGTGCTTAAAATTTAGGCTAGTTAAGCATTTCTCTTGCCAACAATACTACAAGTTTTCCTCATTGTTTTTAAGTTCAATAGAGATGTATTTTATTTTTATTTTTTAAAAAGCTTTATTTATGCATACAAGAACTGGGGTATAGGTGCAGGGTGGTGGTGTTGTGTGTGAGATGATTCACCAGAGACAGAGTGGGGAACAGAACAGGCAGATTGACTGAAATACACTGCTGAGGGGAGCAGCAGGTGAGTCAGGAGAGGTCTGCTGCTCTAAATGGGTCACCTCCGTGGTCAGGGATCAAACTCATGCTGCAGTAGCTGGGGATAGTTTCATAGTGCTGACGTTTAACCCCTTGCGCCATGAGGGAGGCCCCAGGATGTATTTTGTATACACATCTGATTGAACATTTTTTAAAGATATCCATCCTGGTGAGGGTCAAAAGAAGATGCAGGAAAAGAAATAAAAGCTAGAGAGAGACATTAAATATCAAGGAGTTAACTTCTAGGCTGCTTATGATTTTTTTTTTTAAATCTGTGAGGAAAACTGAATTAAAACCATGAATGTTTTTAATATTTACCCTTGAGGAGCCAAGTTCTACTTGCAAGATACTCAGAGGTTAAGGTCGAAAGACCCGTCAAGTCAGAGATTTTTTTTTGTGGAGTTTTATCCAGGAAGTAAGATTTCAAATCAAAGAGATGCTTCATACTACGTAAGCCTCTGTGCTGTACACCACTGGCAAGGGGCTCCAGTGCCATCAGGGATCTTTGACACTTATCCAAACAGACATTTGCTTCAATATCTGTAGAAATATAAGGCTATGTAAAACTATTTTTCCTAATTGCCCCTCAAAAGATTTTTTTTTGTTATTGCTGTTCTCTTACATACCAACTAGCCCTTGAACAACTATGGCCAATATCTTCCTCAATCACATAAGAGGACCTAACATTTCCTATGTCTGAGGGCAAGGTAATTTCTTTGAGTTACAGATATGATATGAATCCTTTTCTCACAAGACCATCCATAAGGTACTCTTTTTTTAAAAAATCTCTTCTTCAGGTACTATGACCTGAGCATTTTTTTATTATTTTTTTGCACTTTGAACATTTATTTATGAATCCGGTGACCAAGTACTGTAACCAAAGTACATAACATTTGTTTCTCTTTCAAACATCTGGGCACCTCTTTCACTTTGGATCAAAGGAAGGAGGCAGTTGGCAAATTTCAAAAAGCAATGATGGGTTAAACATTATCGGTTCCATCTAGTGACAAATGCTGAAAGAATTCATTGGCTAAGAAAGAATTTCAGTTACTATTTTTTGGATAAAATTTATGTTTTAATTTTATTTATCTGGACAGTTGTAAGATGCAATTTTCTTTGTGGTTCACAAGCAATAACTTTCCAATATATATGTTAATAGCAGAATGAAACATTAAAACTTATAGTACATTTTTTGGGAACCAAATAGCTGGTGTCCCGTTTGGTATCCACAGTTAGAAACCACAACTGCAAGATCTCCAATCACAAGCACAGAACAGCTTTTCTAAAAGACAGATAAAAGCAGTGCCATCATTCTAGACCTCAGCTTGCCATCTAACACAGTATCTGGAAAGCTCTAGGCCAAAGTAGTCAGCCATGTAACATATTTAAGTTTAAGTTTAATTCAAACACAAAATAAAGCAAAACAACCTCCCAGGGAGCTTCCAAATGAGTCACTACATAACATCTTCGATAGACAGGCAGTTGACTTCCTTCTGTTGTGTTTCTGGTTATATTTTTCCTCCTTTAATAAGAAGGAACATATTCATGAGCTAGAAGAAAAAAAAAGTTCCCCTTATTTAATTTTAATTAGTTGCTTTAGTAGCACGCCTGGATGTGATGTTCTATTGAAATTCACTCACAATGGTTAGATAACATTTCTCTCTCCCCCCAAACCCCACGTCTGCCTGGGAAAAATGAGTATCAATTGTTAGGTAAGCATTTTGGAGAAGTGGCAAAATACTTCATTTCCACTGTGTGCAAATTCTAGAGTTTAAAGTTCTAAGAGCCACAACAAGAGCAACAAAAAATCCAAACTAAAAGAATCTGTGCCCTCAGTTCATTTTAGAAGAGAGAAACTTCGATAGATGATACTACACAGGAGAAGATTTTACATGGTTGTCCAATTCTCTCAAACGCTGAAGGAAGTAAAAAAAAACAAAAAACAAAAAAAAAATCTATTGTACTTAACTGGCAGTTTGGTTGTCTTTGGAGTCAGAATAACCTGAAATCAAATCCTGGGTTAGCCCCACAAGCAGCTGGTATTGTCTAAGGGCCTGTTACTTATCTTCTCTAAACCTTTCTTTTTTTTACCCTTATAATGGGACTCAAAGAATGTTTTTCTCAGGGTGACTATAAATATCACATTGCTGACGTAAAACAAATTCTGAGTAACATGTTCTACACTACTAACTTTGAGTTTAAGTTACACAAGATTTCATTTAAGATGAACTGAAACGGACAACACCTTAGTGAAAATTTAATAACATCGTAATGGGAGATTGCTTGAATGTTTCCCAAACATAACTTTTGCTAAACTTAAATTGTCAAGGTATTAGAAAAAATATACAGTTGGCTAACTTGTACAAAAAATTAAAACCAAAACTTTAAAAGTGTTTCAAGATGATTGATTTTTATCTGATTGTTTCTGGGGCAATTTACAGCTACCATGGAGTGCTAAATTGAAGATATAGTTAACCAGTGACTAGTGCATGCCAACAACAGATGTTTGTAATCAAATTAAGGTAACTGCAACTTTCTGAATTTCCTGGGCTTACTGCACTTGAAAAATAAAATAATCTGAGATCTTGTTGAATGTGTGAGAATTATTTGGAGAGATATGAAAGGACTACAAAATGTAGCATAACTATGTCATTACAATTTGGATAAGTTATAGCCTGGATGTTTTGTGTATTGGTACTTAGAATTATAAGCAACATTTGCAAACTTTGTAAATACAAGACTTTGCTCCACATGATCTTCAAGGTAGGTGCTTTCCAATTGTCTGAAATATTGATTCTCTATTATTGTTAATACTAAATTTGTTGCATTTCAGCTTTAGTTATAAGATTATGCAAAACAGGTAAGAAATATCTGTGTGCATATATTCAAACTCCTGTAATGGATTAAAATTCAATATTGGTAATTCCTGTCATTAAAATAACAACAGGAAAAGCAAAATGGGGGATTGGATTTACAGAATTTTTTCTTTATATTCACTATGCTAAGTTGCACTGGGAAGTGACTGGAAGTATTTTTCAGAAAGTTTGTTCCTAATACAATAATGGTAACTAGCAGATTCAGCAGGCTCTTTAAACATATGAATCATTCTATGCTGCTTCAATCACCAGACAGAAATAATATGTGAGCATCATTCAGTAATAGCACACTACCCGTGGATACTTATCTAATTATAATCCTTATTAGCATACTACTTTTCCCCAAAGCTAGAATGGGATAAGAAACAGGGAAAGGGGAGGAGAATGACTAATGAACCATAAAAGTTCCTTTATGGTTTATTTAAATAAAATCTAATCTTATAACAAAAATTAAAGTTTTTAGATCTTTGGGGAACACTGTCATTTAAACACATGGCTTAGAGTGACAATAGGTAGCACTGGGGATAGAGAGAAAATCACTGAGATCAAAAAGAAGATGAGAATGAATTTTAAAATCTCATTAGGAAAAAGAAACAACTACTTAGAGAAACAGCAGTTCCTGACCTTAAAAACTGTCATCAAATAAAGCCCACTACTTCTAGAATTACTTACCTAACAATTTAGCACCAAGATGCTGGTTTGTTACACAACACTTCCCTGAAAGGGCTAGAATTTTTTAAATACACCTACCAAAAACAGAAAAAGAAACCAGTTTAAAGCAGATTTCCAAATGAAGTAGAAATTAAATAGTGACAAGTTGAATATTCAAAGTTTGATTTTGTCCAAAAAGAAATAAATGCTTTTAAAGCTTTGATTTGATTTATATAATGGTTGAGTTAACATTATAATATAAAATGTAGTTGTACTGTACAGAAAAGAATGTGTATAATGTGTGTACACATTTAATTAAAAAAGTAAAAATATTCTCTTATAAAATTACATTTATATCTGCTTATCAAATACAGATATAAATTTATGTGCATCTATGTAAGAATGATAAATATTCCCAAAAGTGAATAAGCAAACTAGTTCCCATAAAAATGTAGAAAATCAAGTCAGCAGAGAATAATCACCCCTGGTAGCCACATACAATAATCTGGTTGGAAAAGATTCCAACCATGTGTACCACAATGATGAGTTAGCTGTGTTAGAAAGATGACTGCATAGCTCTAGATTATCCACTATCCTTAGAGATGAAGTTCTAGAATAAGCAGGTTGATGGAGTTAAATAAACAAACTGAAATGGCCATCATTTGAGCATTTGTTGACATATCTGGCAATGACAAAAGAGTGTGAGCAGAATCAGGCAGAGAAAGTGAAAAGAGGGGCTGCTAGAACTTTGGGATGGAGAGAAGTAGGATTTCTTAGGTCAGTGATCTCAAAAAGGTTTTAGGCTTCTTAGTGGGCAAGGGAAGGAAGTGAAAATAGTTGCTGCTTCCATTTCTGGTTAGTATGAGAAGAGAGCTGACAATAAAATGTATGACAGGTGGGCCTCCCCGGTGGCACAGCGGTTGAGCACTGGGCTGCGAAGCTGCCCGCAGCCTCTGCAGTGCCAGTTCGATCCCTGGCCACCGGCAAGAGTCCCACATGGCACGCAGACCTCTCCTGCCACAACTGCTTCTCCCCTCAGCAGTGTACTTCGTCAGTCTGCCTGTTCTGCTCCCTGCTCTGGCTCTGGTGAATTCTCTCACTCTCCCGTGTTTCTGGCTGTACCCAGTGCTTGTATAAATAAATAAATAAATATTTAAAAAAAATGTATAACAGGGAAGCCATCTTGTGGTCAGGCTAATTTGATAACAGTGGTTGGAATTTTGTAAGGATTTAGTGCTGGGAAGAGATAGCAAACAAAGGAGGGTCAATCTGAGATATCATTTATGAAATACCTATTAATATTAATTCCTAGAATATGATAGCTAATGAGTATTTTTCCCTTCTCATACATGTACACATATATAATACATGTAAATATATATTCATTTATGCATATATATTCCGTTAACTTATATATTTAGCTATATATATTCATTTTGTATATTATATATTTAGTTCTAAGCAAGTCATCTAATCTTATGATCCCTAACTTACAAATTGATTATAACAATACTTATTTGTGGTCCATATTTCAAAAATCATATATATTTGGTGATTTTTGAGGCACCAAAACTTTAATTAGAAGTCGTGTGTGAAAACGCTTTATGTTCCTCCTAGGTAAGATTCACTTTAAAGTTAGCATTGTGTCTATTATATCTTTAAAGTGTCTTCTTGCCTCTGCAAGATTTTATATAAAGTACAGGCAAAAAAAAAAAATAATGACCTAATAGCAAAATAGCATTTAAGCTTAGCTCCATTACATTACTTAAGGATTCTCTAAGAATAATAGACACCAAAATAGTACAAAACTACCTTGACATTAAAGGATCATACAATATTCATTACTCTAAAATAAATGCATAATAGGAGCATTCAGCATTTTCTATCCTAGTTCACTTTTGATTTGGCTGATGGCTTTTGAGCCATTGTTTATGTGAGTGTACCAACTTCGAACAAGATAATACATATTATTAAGCCATTATTCGTGTATCTGTATGAGCCATCCACTCTTGAAAAATCTAGTAGTGCTAGACATTCCATTATTTAACCATTTTAGTCCTAATCTACATAGTAATTATTTGAAATATCAAAAACTGAACAAAGTTTTATTTAAAATTACTCTTTTACTTTAAAAACAAAGAAAGCAGTTGGGAAAGTTTTATGTTATCAATATGCTTTGGATCACAAGCTAGTAACAAACAAGAATCTAGCTCTATTCAGATACAGTGTTAAACATAAAGGAAAAAATGCTATAAATTGTTTGATCTTTACTGCTCTCTGTAATTTACCAAAAGAAAGCCATAGTAGGAGAAAGGATCATAAATGGGTTGCTGGCTTGCACAAATTGTCATTACAGATAGTAAATAATGATGATTCTTTCCTCCTTAAAATTAGAAAAATCTGCCATAATTTCTTTGTCACATACAGAATAAATTTCCTCTGCAACTACGTAAGTTCTGAAGTTTTACATTTTGTTGAATGGGTTCTAAACTATCAAACATTTGAATCTAGGTTTTAGTTCTCAGCTACAGAGATTGGAGCAGGTGATGACATAGTTTTTCTTTTTCTGAACTTGATGGAGCCCACAATTTATCTGGGTATTGCTTAATGAAATGGAAGCAGGGAAAGGACTTAAAATAAAGAGAATGATCATCTTGGCTAAATGGAAAGATGAATGACAATGTAAATACAGATGTTGGGGCTAATGAGAACCAACATAACTTAGTATAAAGAATAAGTAGGGTGCAATTTGTTGAAGTCAACATTTCAGGATCCAAATCTATGGCTTGGGGCCTGCTCTCAGTTCTTAATGTGATAGGTCTGACAGGGTTAGGGTTGTCCTGCTTTGAAGTATAATTAAATCTGTACAGAGCTAGCAAAATAAGTTTTTAAAATATATAGAGGGAGTGGGCTTCCCCTGATGGCACAGGCATTTGAGCACAGTGCTGTGAAGATGTCCGCAGCCTCTACAGCATGGGTTCCATCCCGGATGGCCAGCAAGAATCCCACATGGCGAGGCAGACCTCTCCTGTCTTACCTGCTGCTCCCCTCAGCAGTGTGTTTCGTCAGTCTGCGTGTTTGTTCCCCACTCTGTCTCTGGTGAATCTTCTCACCCTCCTGTGCATCTTGCCTGTACCCTGGTTCTTATATGCATGAATAAATAAATCTAAAAAAATTAAAACAGGGCCTCCCAGGTGGCGCAGCGGTTGAGCGCTGGGTTGCGAAGCTGCCCGCGGCCTCTGCGGCGCCGGTTCGATCCCCGGCTGCTCCCCAGCCACCGAAGGAGGGTCCCACATGGCGCGCAGACCTCTCCTGCCGCCCGCTGCTCCCCTCAGCAGTGTACTTCGGTCCTTCTGCCTGCTCTGCTCCCCGCTCTGGCTCTGGTGAATTCTCTCGCCCTCCCGGCTTCTGACTGTACCCAGTGCATGTATAAACCAAACAAACAAACAAACAAACAAACAAATAGATAAATAAGACATGCCTCTAGAAAATTAAAAAAAAAAAAAAAAAATTAAAACAAATTAAAAAATAAAAATATATATATCGGGAGATAATGTAATATCCAATGACAACTTAAACTAAGAGTGAGTTTTGTGCTCAATTTATGAAAAAATTAGGTAAAACATAGGCAATCTATGGGAGAAGATTATGGAGAAGATTATAATGGAGAAAAAAAATGAAAATTGACATGTGATATATTAGGTTAGCCAGCTTTCTAATGTCAAGATGAATTTAACTCTAATAAGTAGTAGAAGTACTGGTAGGATTTTTTCATTCATTTCAAACTTACATACCAATAGCGTGATTCAGATAAAGTAAAAAGTGTGGTAATACGTTTAAATACTGAAAAATTATATATTTTCTTAATTCTCCCTTCTTTTATTACAGAATTAGTATCAGGTCTTAGAGTTCCAAAAAGCCTATTTGTATTTGTTCAAGAAAACTCAAATTCATGACTGCTAATATGGCATGCAATTGTCCACATAAAATGGAGTAAAACATTACTGAAATGTAAGTGATACTGAAATGTAAGTGATACTTCAGATGCATAATGAGAAATATTGCTTAGCTAATAATGTCAAAGAATAGAAGATCAAAAACTCTTGGTTGAATTCAAGTGAATCTCAGCAAAGTGTTTGTTGGGCAATCTTATTTTATCTTCTTAAGTGTCTCCTTTTTAGCATACTGACCTTATATCCATGACTCAGCAAAAATGCACATTACAAAATAACATTGGCCTTCAGAGTTTGTTTTGAAGACTCCAAACCTCAAATATTAAATCAATGAGTGCTGTGGCCACTGCAAGGCATTGCATCTGAGAGATATTTAATAAAAGTCTGCTTTCCACCTCACAAGTCAGTCAATTTCTTATCAAAGTAAACATCCTTTGGGACATTTTATATTATTACAATTATAAAAAAAATGTGTTAAGTAATTACTTCCAAGAGAGCGGTGGGGAAACACTATATTAGTACAATGTTTATTTAGAAGTTTTAATGAAATGATCTGGATAACATTGTGTTTTACTTCTGTGTTCACAGTTTGGTGTTACTACAGGTACACACACACACATACACACACACACAATAGTTCTACTAAAGTGACGTTTGTTGTATGTATACTAAATAGTTTTTGTTCTCATCACATGTGCTGCCCTGTCCTTATGTCCCCTGAGTGTACAGGAGGAATGTTAGGAAGGTTTTTTAGTATTGCTACCTAGCAAGATTATAACATTTATGCCGGGTAGTTAGCCACAATAGGATAAACTATAGGAACTAAATGTCATAATCCCTTCCTCCTATCATTCAATCATCACTACAATATCCCAAGCCTTTTAATTCAACCCATGTTTGAACAGATTCAGTTTGTTTTCTCTGTCCAGTGAATCTGAAGTCCAGGAGTCTGAGGTCCAGTCACCAAACTCCCAGCTTCTGACCTTTTCCTTCTTTTGTAACAAGAGTGTGTGAGCGTAACAACTACTAAAATTTCATCTGACTCCAAATATGACTTATGAATACCTCACTTTCTAAGAGCCAGGAAATCTATTCTGTGCAGCAATCTGCACTGCTGTTGCTATTAAAAGGGCATTCCTTGGGTCCAGCTAAAACATATCCCTCTGTAATTCCTGCAAACATTCTAGTTGGCTCTCTTAGTCTTTAGAGTTTCAATTAGAGTCAGTCTTTACACTACTGAGGAACAAGTTCTAAATTCTAATACTCTTTTAGAGCCAGGGTATTCTTTCTTATGTTTAACAATGTTCTTTTGATGAAAGTGAAGTCAATCTTTGATTCTCTTCTTAAAGGAGCTAAAACAAAAGGGGCCATCAAATACACTCTGCTGGATTACACAAACTATTATGTATGATGGAGTAGACCCTCATCAGTAGGCATGGAGATCACCTGGAATGTCCAGATGGTGCCTCAGAATGGGGGTTTTCAAAAGACTATTGCTAGACATATGTGTCTGGTTAGAATGTTTAACCTTCATGGTCTTTAATCATGTAGCATTATGTGAAATGCCACTGGCTGAATGGCTTGATGAAGTGTTTTGAGGCTGTAGAGTTTCCAATCTCCTGACCACCACCAGAGGCTCTGCCGCCACTGGGAATGCAACTCTGGTCTAAGAGAGAAGAGGGCAGACAGAGATCAGCCTCTACATTATGAAGCATGGGCATAAGGAGCTGTGATCACACATATAGTGTGTGTGGGGGGGGGCAGTGGGGTGGAAAGAGAGAGAGAGAGAGAGGACTATTAGTACGACAGGAGAAATACCTGAAGTGCTATCATTCTCTTCCAATTCCCACATCTCAAAGATATTTTCCCTTCAAAATAAAATTAATGTCTAGAAGCTCCTTTTCTGGGTTTTTAATTCTTTAAGAGTAAATATATCAGCTCTCATGGAAGTTCATTGCTCTATGCTCTGAAAGTACTGATGAAACCAATAGAATGAACAACCCATGGATATTCATTTTAAGGGCAACTGAAGGATACAGAAAACTTTCACAGTAGGAGACAATAGGCATTAGGTTTTCATGACACTCAGGGCTGACTATGTCACTTTTAGTAAGTACCCAAATTTCTCTGAACTTCAGTATTTTCATTTGTGAAGCTGGAATAATTTCGGGACTGTGGTGAGAATTAGGGAAGAAAATGCAAACAAAAGGCTTATCACATTGCCCCAAACTTAGTTAAGACTCATACAAAGTGGCTATTGTTAATAATTTATAGGATTATAATAATCATATAGTGCTTATGAGGAATGTTGATAATGCTATTGCAGCAGAACTTGACCTAGGACTTTTCTCTTTGTAAATGACTTGTCCTGGATATGGTGATGATTTAGGTCATTTTGGCATTCATCTGTCTGACATGAAATTTTTCTGTTTCAGATTCTATTAAAAAACATTGGTTATCAGATTTCACTGTGGTATTCTGGAAGAGCACTAAACTGCCTGCTTGCTTTTTAGTATCCTAAATCTATCCAAAGAGAAGAGATGAGCTCTGTCTTTCATTTATTAGGGATCAGCATCTTTGTCACTTCTGAAGGCTCCGGGAAGAGCCATAGCAGGAGTTGGGCTAGGCAACTCAGCAGTCTGTTTTTCCAGCTCACTTGGCTGTGCACAGTGCTCTGACTTTGGGAAGAGCTGTCTGCTTTCTTCCTTTGTAGAGAAGGCTATGAGGAATGAGGCAATAGATATGTCTTATACAACAGCCTGGAAAAATAGGCCATGGCCTAACAAATAAGGAGGATTACATGGCCTCCTTCCAGGGAGTTCCTGGCTAGAGATAGGAGGACAGGTTGAGATGCCTCCTGATAGATTTTGCACCAGTTGCCCTCCTTCGGAAAGAAGTTCTATTTTAGATGGTAGAAGAGAGTTGGGTTAGGGAAGGCATTGGATCCTTATAGTATGAGATCGTATTAAGAATCAATTTTATGCAAATTGAGCTGTCACAGTCAAAGCATGTATCCAAAAGCACAGCAGAAAATCATGCAATTCTCATGTATGCTAGCAAAGTGTGAAAAATGGTTTGGATTGACCTAGCCCCAAAGCTCCTCATTTGAGAGTGTCCAAAACCATTTCCTAGTACTACAGGGGTTCTAATGACCACATGTGATCCCTTTTTGCTGTTTTATCTGTGCTAAACCCTTTGTCCTCGTAGGGTGTGTCTACTCCATAATACTTGTTAAATTTCTCTTCTGGCTTGCCTTTCAATCAGTGAGGAAGCCTCAGCAGCGAACTGTGAGTGATCTCTCTCCCGCTGAACTTGGCCCATACTGCCATCTTAATTGCCTTTTCCAAAGATGATTGAGTGATATCTTTTCTATCAGGCAGTCTTTGTCATTTTGGTTTAGAAATCGGGGAATGGGAGAGGCTCAATCATCAATCTCCAGAGGCAGCAGATCTGACTCAGCGACTGTATCAAAAATATTGCTGTGAAAAAGATGTGGTCCCCTCCTCACTGCTAAACACGGTCTCCAGGTTCCCTTGCATGCTGTTCTCTTAACTCCTTGCCTGCCGGCTTCCGTAGTGATGGCCAGGGACCGTGCTCCATTTCTTCATCTAAGAAGCGTGTTCCAGAGGTGCATTATGGAGCTATTCACAGCATGGGACAATAATAAGCTCAAGACCATGGCATCCTTTTCTGTATTCTGTGACATTCTCATCTCAGCCCACTGTGTCTGGCAGCCACACAATGACGCCCCACATGTGTCAGGGAGATGGATGACACCCGCAGTGTCTGCATCTCAACGTGGATTCAATGAGCTTCGCTGAACCTTACCTCAGGCTTGTGAGATTCTATGCCATTGAATTAGAAAGGCAAACTACCCACCCATCCCCTTCCATGTAATGTCTTATTTTTTCCCAAACAAATGCTTTGATGGCAATAATGACATGCATTAGGTACTCTGATGGATTACACATTGCACTTTCATCCTCCATATTGCTGGTTACAGGACACTTGTTTTTGTCTTGTTGCTGTGTCCTTACTTTTTCAAAGCTAAAACAGAGGCTACTAACACAGGTATTAGTTCTTTATGTGCCTTTCACACCTCTTGGACTTCCTCAACTGAATGCAATTGGAAAAAAATAAAATAATAAATTACAAGGGCTCTTTTTTCCTAATCAGGGAAGTGGCTCGTTCATTTTGGGAAAGTCTCTTTTGATCTTAATTGTTGGTTTCAGCATGAAATCAGTTCTGAGCTGGGCACAATTGTGCCACAGTGAAGCTTTTGGTAACAGGTTTGAATTATGAGCTCAGTGCTTGCTACTAGAGTCACTCAGGCAAATTGAATAAAGAGGGATTATATGGGAGGAAAACCAAAGGACTTTTCTGGACTGTTTTCATGGGCATATACCTTGTGTCATCACTCAGGGCTCCACATTGAGAAGAACAGTGCAAAGTTTTGCTGGCATCATCATGAGATTCTTAATAACTTGTGAGCAAGAGGGTGTGTATACTTATTTTGCACTGGTCCAGAATGATGTGATCAGTCCTGGTGCCAGGCACTACTCCATGCTTTATAAATAACAGAGTTCTAGAAGGGGATCCTGGATCAGTTTTGGGTAAGGTATGATGGCATAAATGTCATGGTAGAGGTGAGGATGCCAGTGATCATGCCCTTGTGATGTAAAGGGTCACACTGGAAGTGGCCATCAGAACCTATGTCTTTGACCCTTCAGCCAGATCAAGGGTCTAAACAAAAGATGATAGAGAGAAAGGTTTGTGAAGATTATCTTCAGAGAGAACAATTTCTTTGCTGAGTTTCTCCTTCCTTTTTTGGTTGGGAAGATAAGAACTTAAAATTGCTCTCTAGCTCATACCTAAGAAAGCTACTCTGATATAAGGGTTAGATGCAACTCACACATGGAAATCTAGAAGTTCCGAGAGGGGCTAAGTGGGGGATCAAAGGTAGGAGATTTAGTTTGCTGAAACAAGGAACAATTCATGAGAGTTTGCTGTGAGTTATCACGAAAATTCCTGGTGTAGAATTGTCTTAGGTCTCCCCACACCTAAAATGGGACTTCTGGAAGCCTGAAAAGACCCCAGGGGATGGATGTTCAGCTGATGAATATGATGGTGGCAACAGTCAAGGCCTTTGAACAGAGTTTCTGTCTGTTGGAATAAGAGAACATGAGAGAAATCAGCCAGAGTATATTTAAAAAGCCCCCACAAGGGCACGTGTCTGCTGTGACCATTTGCATGGCCTTCCACCAAAAGCTTCCAGCTTCAAGTCTTTGCAGACTAGAAAGCAAAAAAGCCACCCAATATTACTTCTTCCTCCAACTTTGAGCTTCCCTCCAACTTCGAATGTGAAATGCAGCAGAGGACTGTGAAATAT